CGACTCTGATCAAGAGGGCGTCTGGGTGTCCCCTGGACGGAGGTCACTGTGGGTGGACAGGGCGGTGCCTGAGCTCTCGGGGACCCGGCTGCAGCACCCACTCTGCCGTTAACGGGCAGGGTGACCTGAGGCAGCTCTGCTCGTGTCTGGATCAGGCGCCCTGCCTTCCAGGGTGTTTGGAGGGTCACAGCAGTGAGGTGCCCACACTGAGGACCTCCGGGCTGCAGTGCACGCGAGGGTCCTGCCCAGGAAGAGCTCTTGGTCCCCAGGGTGACGTGGGTGCTCTCTGGTGCCGGCCGCTGGGGGCTCACCTCGGGGAGCCACTGGGTCTCGTGCCTGCCCCGCCCTCCTTTCTGCCCCTGCAGCCCCCCTTCCTCTTCGGAGCCTCTTGTCCTCTCCTGTCTGGACACACAGTTAGGAACTGCGTGGGGTGGTGGCTGCAGGAACAGCGGATGAATCCCGGAGCCCATGCAGATGTGGGCTTGTGTTGTCACTTTGTCTCCACCCACAGCTGCACGGTGCCCAGCACGCAGCCAGCCCCGGTCAGAACTTAACCCCATCACCTGGAGGCTGGACAGGACCTCGGCACAGGCCTCAGGAACCGGGTCCCTGATTCCAGAGTCTGGATTCTTTCCTCTCTACCCTGTCACCTGCCTCTCTTGGTGACAGAGGAACTCCACAGGTGTTCTCTGGGCACCAGTGGTGGTCCTGTGGTAGCCGGCCTGCCTACCTGCCCTTTTTGGCAGGCAAGACCCCTGTTGGGCTCCCTGCTGACCCTGAGATGTCCCCCATTGTGGCAGGAGGGAAGGATTAAGCAGCCCTAGGCCAAGGACAAACGTGAGGTCCGCTGTCCGTCCTTTAGAGCAGGGCCCCGTGTCCACATTTCTCCAGAGGATGCCAAACGCAGGGACGGGCGAGTGCTGGTAGCAGCTGCCCCCACGAACTCTGCCAGCTTGAGCTGAGCACCAGCTGGGCAGACCTGTGTCCTGCAGGCAGCAGTGGGAGAAACTCATGTTAGACAGCAGGAAGGACTTCCCAAGTGAGGGCTGTCAGCCGGGATGGAAGTGCCTCGTGGTCTGTCTGTGTCTGTAACGCCCCCATTTGGGCGTTTACTGCACGCCCCTATTTGCCAGGCCCCCCGCTAGGGCCTGAGGAATCGGACAGGACTAGGATTAAGTCCTTGCCTTGGAGAAGGTCACACGGGCCATGCTGTTCTGATCATTATAATTCAGTTAGATGAGTGCGCCGTGGATAATGAGCACGGTATTGGTTTCACACTAATTAACTCATGTAATTCTCACAACAACCCTGTGAGGCTAGTGCTATTATTATCCCCATTTCACAGATGGGAAAACGGGGGCTTGGCGACACCAGGTGACGTGACCAGGTGGCACAGCTGTTAGCACTGAGCTGGATGATATAAACAGGCACATTGCTGGGCACAGGGCAGGAGCTGCCACCATCAGGAGACAGCGTGTGCAGAGCACTGCAGGCTCATGGGCGGCCCCATGGGAGGGGTGGCCCGGGGGCGGAGCCACACCTGGGCACAGGGGCTCACCTGCCGTCCCTCTCTGACTGCCCTTTACCTGGCTGCAAGGGGCAACTTGAGCCCATGCAGAGACAGCGCGCTGGGGGCCGGCTTCCTGGGCCCCTGCTCCAGGCAGGTGGGACAGTCCTTCCAGGTCAGCCCAGCAGAGCCCAGGGGCTGAGCCTTCCTCCCGCTCTCCCTCCCAGAGGAGAAGCCCGCACAGAACCAATCCCCAGGGCCCCTGGGAACCAGCCAAATCGCCATGGGCCAGTGTCGTGACCCCACCCCCTCCAGTTGCCCCCAGCAGCCCCCTCTTATCACACCTGCCCCTGGTCTCCACGGCAACACCACCACACCCAGCACCCTGGGTGGTCTGGTCGCCTCACAGGGTGAAGCTCTGAGAACATTTTCCTGATGTGCAGCCAGAAATTCCCACTTCCCGTGCCCAGGGCTGCCCAGTCGTCTCTCCCCTCCCTCCTCGCCTGCCCACCTCATTCCAGGACCCTGCCCACTGCCCCCCAACGTCCAGTGAGGGGACCCAGGGCTTCTGGGAAGAAGGCTTCCGAGGGGCGGCACCCCGTCCTCTCAACCCTGCTGTTCAGTTGGAAGGAGCAGTTTGCAGGACGCAGAGCAAGTGGAAGTGGGCGCCTCTTGTGTCAAACTTACGAAGAACTTCAGACGGACAGCAGCAGATTTGAGCCGTGTGGGTCTCTGCCGCTGTGAGGGCGCATGCCCGTGAAGCCAGCCCTGCAGCAGCGGTGTGTGTGAGCGTGAGCGTGTGTGTGCGTGTGCGTGCACACGTCTGCTTGTCTGTGTGTGCATGCATGCGTATGCATGTGTGCGTGTGCTTGTGGTGGTCACAGGGTGACAGTGGGGGGGCAGAGTGAGTTCAGGCGTCGGGCACCCGATTTAGCCGCAAGATGGGCCCCAGAAGCAGCATCACCAAGGAACCTGTGCTCCTTCCTGGGCCAGGAGACAGGGCAGGGTGTAGACTGAGGCCCGGAGACGGCCACAGCCACACAGGGTTTTCCAGCCGAAGGGTGAGGGCTGACTGAGGTCATCCGTGTCTCCCAGAGCTCCTGACTTGGTGACGTGGGGACGCTTTGCGAGTCTGTGACTTTCGACAGCCCAGCTCTGTGACATGCACATGTACAGATACGCACGTGTGCCCTCGCACATGACACACACATCTAAGAGCTTGTGTGTCCCAACACCTGCCACCCTGAAAATACTTGGCAGCCTGTGCCACCAAGCCGGGGCCACCACAGACAGACCCAGGCACCCCGGACAGGGCGCCCTCGCGCACGGGGTCAGGGCATGGCCTGTGGGCTTGAGCTGCGCTCTTTGGTTGCACAGGGACAGCTGACCTCCCAGGGAAGTCCTGCCTCAGAACCAGCAACCTCCCAGGACAGCCGCCCTCCCTGAGGCTGCCCCCCACAGCTGCCCTTCGCACTCCCAGGGCCTGTGGCATCAGCTTGGAAGGCTCCCTGCACCCCTCCCAGCTCTCCACGCTCCCCTCCTTCCCTCTCCTTGGCACCAGCCTCACCCCTCTTCCTTTGTGAGAGGGCCAGGCCTGAGTGGGGCTCCCCCACCCGGACCACCTGAAATCCATCCCCGACTGAGCACTGCAGCTGGGCTGTGCAGTCTGCAGGCTTGGGGCCGGATGTGGGGGCGGTAAGGCCCCTCCTCCCCAGGGGAGAACAATGAGGCGGCTCGTCAGGCTGCTGGGGCGGGGAGTGGGGGCACGGAGCCACATCAGAGCCTCTGAGGTGCGCCCCTGGAGGGACAGCTGAGTGATGGGGCCTGAGTCACACACCCGCGCTCCTGTGGAGGCACGCTCAGAAATGCACAGGGTAAATATTTAGAGCTAATCGTTTCTGCCGCACCTCGAGGGGAAGCCAGGCCCAAGGCTCACTGGGGGTGTGTGGGGGGGTCCAGGCAGACCCAGCGGCTGCAGCAGCTTCCTGGGCCACCATGACCCCGCACCGCCAGTGCTTTCTGCTTCTTCACGTGGTGCCTGAGCCCGGGCTCACGGGCCTGAGGGCTCCCTGAGGACCAAGCCCCGGTTACAGTCCTTGGCGAGCCCTCTGGGTGCTGCCCCCTCACGGAGGCCGCCAGCACCCAGGACAGCCCTGCCGCTGCCCACGCACGGCAGGCGGGAACCGCGGGCCAGAAGCTGCCCAAGTTCCCGGGCCGGGTTCGTGGCTCCGCCTGGCACGCAGCGTCGCCCTCCTTTGGAGCCCACCCGTGGGGTCCGCGTCCGAGCTTCACCAACCATGACACGTGTGAGAGTAAACAGTGTTTTTATGGCTTGGAGCTGGACTCCCGCGCACAGCCCATGCACAGCCCGCCGGCCTTTCGGGGTGCATGCATGGAGTACGCGTTTCTTGGGGGGAATGGAGACACTGAGTCTGAGGGTGGAAGCCCCTTCCTCAGGAAGGGAGAAAGCTGCAGGCAGCCGTGCCCAGCGGCACGGCGGTCCGCTCTGGGCCCACTCTGTGCCCCCAGGGAGGAGGCTGCAGAGGCCGGGAGCCCCTGGGAGCAGCTTGGACAGGATGGGACCCGACTGTGACAGGTGCACACTGCGTAGCTGTCTCAGTCACCGCTGCTCAACGGGACAAACAGGAGAAAATGCTACACGGGGGTGGGGGGCACCAACCAAGGCCCCCGCCCCGGGCCTGTTGGGCTGGGACACTTGTCCACAGGTCACTGAGGGCCAGCCGGAAGGAGGGATGCAAATGCTGTGCGTAGTTTGCTAGGCTGCCAGCCTGTAAGCATTGCTCACTTAATCCTTCCAACGACCCGAGGACTTTGGCAAATTCACCCCACTTTTATGCACGAGGAAACTGAGGGTCCCAGTGGGTAAGGGCCCAAAGTCGCAGGCAGGAGAAGAGGCCTAACTTCAGGCCCTTTGCACTCTGAAGCTCAGCGCAGTCACTTCATTTTCTTACGTAAAGTGGGGTGACGATGGACTCTGCCTTGGGGTGTTGTGAGGACTAAAGGGGTCACTTGGGACAAAGTTAGCCAGTGCCCCACACAGAGGAGGCCCTGGTGAGTGTCGGCATGTTGGCAGAGGCCTCAGAGGGCCCCCTGGCTCTGGGGTCGGCTGGAGGGACGCTCACACGGCACAAGCACTGTGGGCGCCTGTCCTGTAGGCCGAGTGGCAGGGAGCTCCGTGCCTCAGTTTCCCCACTAGTGAAAAGCACACCCGTGGTGCCATTTGTATGACGCGGCCCTTGCCTCCTGCTCTGAAACTCCCTGGACTTTTCTCTAGCTCGTCCCTTTGCAGGGAGGTTGGCTTCGCTCCCAGCCCTGCTCTAGAGCTAGCCCTGGGGAGGCCACAAAGGGAGGAGGACGGCCGAGGGGACACTGTGGGCGGCCAGTGCCCGCAAGGCCGGCTGTGGAACTGGGGACACCGGTGGGTGTGGGGAGCTGACGGGGGGCTCACAGGTCCCTCTGTCTGTCCACGCAGAGACCTGAGCATGAACAACCTCACGGAGCTGCGGCCTGGCCTCTTCCAACACCTGCGCTTCCTGGAGGAGCTGTGAGTAGACGCCCCGCGGGCTGGGACCAGGGCTCCCCTCAGGGTGTTGAGGGACACCTTGCCCAGGTGGGAACCCCAGGGGGGGCAGTGTGGGGCCACGTGGCGCAGGAACTCCAAAACCGGCCTTTCTCTCCTCCCTGAGCCCCCGTTTCTGTCAACAGCCGCACCCCTGCCTGCGGGCCACCTTTGACCTGCTGTCCTCCCCCTCCCCCACAGTGTCCCACGCCTGCCACTCCAAGACCTGGTGGATCGTTTTTTGGAGCTTTTCTCCTCCATCCCCACTGCTGTAGCCGGGGTCTTGCCAGCCCTCAGCTCACACCCCCACCCCTTCCAAAGTGCACCCCACTAGCTCCAGAGGCTTCTGTGGTTCCCACAGCTCGGGGGCCACTTGCAGGGGCCTCATCACCTGGCCCACACCCACCTGGCCAGCGCTGTCCACGAGGCCCGTCCTGGTCTCCACACCTGGTTTCTCCTCCTGCATTTGAGCAGGTTTCCCTCCACCCTGGCAGGCTCTCCTTTCTTTCCGCCTCTCGGTGCCCGTCCCTCAGTGCGCTGTGGGGCCACCGTGCCCCCCGCCCGCTCCCAAGCCCCCCCCGCCTGTCTCTGCACCGGCAGAGACCCCTGCGGCTCCAGTAAGGTTTGGTTTGGCTGGGCAAACTGGCACCAGGCCCTGAGAACATTCACGTCCACCCAGGCCCCCGCCCCCTGACAGACGTCCCCAAGAGCACAGTTGGCCGGCCTGCTGAACTTAGGGTCCCATCTACCCTGGGGCCACGGCTGGGCTTTCTAGACCCAGCTCTATTGCCCCCTCGTGGGAAAGGCAAGTTCAAGGTGCTCGGGGGGGGGGAACAGGACCAGTCGAGACCCGCTTGCCGCCCTCAGAACCTCCAGGCAAGGCTGGAGGGCCAGGCGGGCAGGTGACAGGCGAGTGTGGCGCTCGGTGTGGACACCAGGGCGTCTGTGTCAGGGCCGTCGGGGGCGGGGCCTGCAGTGGGCAGGGAGGCCTGGCCTCAAAGGAGGCGGCAGCCTGAGAGGAGGCCGAGGGACCGTCTGAGGCGGTGACACAGCTTGGGCAGGCATGTAAAGCAGGACAAAGTCTGCGGAGCTGGCAGCAGGTGACGCAGGGGCCCAACCAGAGTTTTAAAGGCTGACCCTCCATCTCCGGTTCCCCGAGAGTGGCTGGGCCTGTTTCAGAGGCGCCCCTCCCCAGCGGACCCGAGTGCCCACCTACAGAGCTAAGCTCGGGGGCCTCGGACACCATCTGCCTCTCCACATGGTTTGTGAAAAGAATAGACGTCACGTGAAGAGACGCTTCACGGAGACAGATTTGAAAACAGTGGCTTCTGAGGATGGTCAGTGCCGTCCCTACATCGCCGGCCTCTCAGGACTGATGCATGTGACGTGTCGGGGGCTTCGGAGACCCCGGGGCTTTCCGAGTCGTCCACAAGTCAGCTCTGCTCGGTCGTCTCAAGCAGGACGCAGGTTGTGACGTGTTTGCTCCTTTTAGAATTGGTGACCACCCCACGACAAACGTGGACATGCTTAGTCAGACCCGTGTCCTGACCCTCCTGGGTCCGTGGGGGTTAGCTGTGGAGCCTGGGCCGTGGAGACAGACACCCGTCTGTGTGGAACCCTCCCCGGGGGACAGGGTACCAGGTTCCCATGGGAAGGATGTGTGCTGTGGAGCAGACGTGACTGAGAAGTTAATCAGATCTGGTGACACCAGGCCCTGCCGCCACCGAGCTCTGTGACCCCGAGGGGAAGTGACTTGCCCGGTGGAACCTCAGTAGTTTCCTCCTCTGAAACTTGGGGTGATAATAGGCACCTTACAGGGCGATAATGAGAATGGAGTGAGGTGATGGGTGTGAAGTAGCTAACTACATTGCACCTCGAAATAAATGGTCGTGGTCACCACACGTTCCCCTCCAGCGTCCCAGGACACGGCCAGATGGGGTGGCCCTCCTGGGGTTCCCTGCCAACATCACCGGACCTTTGCTCTGGCTTGCAGGCGTCTCTCTGGAAACCACCTGTCACACATCCCAGGACAAGCATTCTCCGGCCTCTACAGCCTGAAAATCCTGTAAGTATGGGCATTTCTACAGACCTTGAGAACCGGGCACAGTGAGTCCTGATCTGTCACCCGCGCGCCTGCTGCTCCCTTACCCGCACTGTCCGTCTCAGCTGTCCATTACGTCTGTCGACAATACACTGCATGAGGGGCGGACGCACATTTCAGCTGCCGCCCGGGGCAGCCCAGGGAGGCGGACCGTCCCCTTCTTGGTGACGTGAGCAGTAATGTCGGCACAGGAGTCTGCGGGGCTGAGCTGCACAGACCCAAGCACCGTCCCCGCATGGGAGGCATCCTCGCTGGCCATTTTTCCTCCCAGCCCCTCCCTGGTCTCCGAGGCTGTGGCCCTGAGTCCCATTGTCACTTCAGGCCTCAGACTGCTTTGTCTGGCCCCTTTCACCTTCCCCTTGAAGGAAAGGGGCAGTAAGAATTGCGGCGCCCTTTGTGTAATGTCACCTGAATTCCCCCTCGCTTTGAGCCGGTGGCCCACGGGAGGGGGGAGCGGAGCTAAGACACCATCTCCTGCCCCCACTGGCTTACCTTGTCCCATCCAAGACTGTCCCCCCAGGGCCCCAGTCGTGTCCTGATGGGTGGGGGCGGGGGCAGTGCCTGCACAAGGCCTGCGGGTTGCTGGGAGTCTGTTTGGGAGGGCGCGTCACCGTGGGGACTGGTTTGGGGGGAAAAAAATGAGGTTGTGGGGCTGATGGTGCAGCAGTAGAGGGAGGGAGTGGAGCTTTGCTACCCCCTCGGCCACGGCTGGACTTCAGGCTTCTCTGTACAGTTGAGCAGGTTGTTTGCTGCACGAGGCCACCCGGCTGAGGGGTGAGGACAGGCTGAAATCTAGTCCTCTGTCTGGCTTGTGGCTACACCCACCCAGCAAGGAATGTCTTTTTATCACTTGCTTGAAGTTGTTTATGGGCTGGCGGTGGCCCTTGGCCTGCGAGCTGCGGGCACCCGGTGAGTGAAGAGCCCACGGTCCACGGCTGAGCGTGCTGGTCTGGCGCCTCGGCCCTCAGCCTCCCTGGGGACCTGCCTGTGAGCGTGCCCGGGCGCTCCTGCCTCAGTCTCCCTGTCTCTCCCTCGGCGCCTCGGCGCCCTGCCTCCTGGTTCTCCTTCCTGCCTCTCCCCCGGGTCTGTCCTGAGCCCCGTCACCACCACCGCCCACGGGGTGGGGGACGTCCTGAACCAGGCACAGTGCGGCGGCCTGCTTGGTGGCGTGTCTGTGCCCCGAGCAGGCTCAGACCTGCAGCCTGGATTAGAGAGCGGGCTGCGCGCTGGGCCTTCAGATGTGAGGCTCACGTCCGTTCCTAAGACTCGGCTTAGAGATGGGCCTCTGCTTCTTCCTTGCCTGCGTTAGGCAGTGAATCAAAGCCCCGGAGAAACCGCAGGCCTCCGCCCCTTCTGCAGACGGCCGTGGGCTCAGCCGGTCGGGTGGCGGGAGAGGCTGCTGGTGGGAGCTGAGGACAGCCGGACCGTCCACGGCCCCTGGGCCCCGTCCTGGAAGACCAGCCTGCGGGGCTTCTCTGAGGCAGCCTCCGAGCGAGTGCCCACCTGCACCTGGGCACCAGGGCCCCGATGTCCGACGTCAGGGCACTTGCCGCGGTGCCCGTCTCTCCACTGCGCTTCTTCAGACCTGTAAGAAAGACCGAGCGGCAGAGCCCACCACGGGAGGCCGCCGCCCCGGCTGCCGCCGGCCTTCTCTGTGTCTGGGACTCTGTCCGAGCTGCGTCTCCTTTTCTTGGAGGCTGGCCGTTCCCACAGGACGCTTTGCCCCCCCCCCTCCTTCCCATTCAGAGGCAGAGGACAGAAAGAGGGGGTTCCCGGTCTCTCCTGTGCCAGGGGCCTGTGGCAGGACCCCTCCCCCCGTCCTCCCTACCCAGCCACACGCTTGACCTGGACCTGTTACTCTGGGACCCTCCCCTCCCCCGTGGGTTCTCCAGGTCTGAACCCCACGGGCTCTGGCCAGGCTGGGTCTCAGCCCTCAGGGAATGTCCAGCCTCCCGACTCTTCTCGACACTGGAGTGAGAATGTCTGTCCTGTGGAGCCGTGACAGCCCAGATGAGTGTGTGAGTGTGTGAGTGTGAGTGCATGTGTGTGTGAGTGTGTGAGTGTGCGTGTGTGAGTGTGTGCGCATGTAAGTATGTGAATGTGAAAATGTGTGAATGTGAGTGAGTGAGTGTGCGTGTGCGTATGTGACTGTGAAAGCACGTGAGTGTGTGTGCGTGTGTGCGTCTAAGGGGAGGACAGGACCTAGCCCCGTATGCCTTCTTTAAGCGGCCCGGCTCTGGACGCCATGTGAAAAGCGGCCCTGTACACCTCGTCTCACACCCGCGCCCGCCCTCTCCTCATTCCTGGGCCCAGGTCCAGAGGCTACAGGCAGACAGTTCTGATGGCAGCAGCTCCCCGCGTCTTCCCCCAGCCCCCAGCACCAGCCACAGCCTTGCTCAGGCGCGTGTCTCAGGGGCTTCCCCGTGCTTTGTGGTGCGTGGGGTCGGCTGGGGTCGGCTGGGGTCGGCAGTGACCCTGGGCGCCCAGACCTGTTTCTCCCTGCTGCCTGCTGTCCCACCCTCTACCCTGCACATGGGGTTTTCCGGGTGCCCCCAGGAGCTCCAGGACTCCTGCGATGGGGTCATCCTGGGGTTCTGGGGTCCTGGGGCCTGCTGAGTGATCATGTCCGCTGGCTGGCATGTTCCTTTTGGGGGGATTGTGTGCATTGGGCCATTGGAATAGTGCTGACACGCTGACCTGGGTATGTCACACGGTTTCTGTAGGCAGGGACTCTGTAAGTCCTATGTGCCGGGGGCCCTGCCGCCCGAGGGGGCCTTGCCCTCACCCCCATCCACCTGCCCCAAAGAAACCTTCAGCCTCTCAGCTGCACAGACAGAGAGACGCGGCCGGGGGAGAAAACCTGCGTTTCTCCACAGCCTTTCTGACCAAACTCGACAGAAGTGCGAGTTCTGACCCCTGGCCCTCGCTGCCGTCCACGTGTCCCTGCTGCTTCTCCGTGGTCCTCTAACTCTGCCTCCCGCTCTGAGACCCCTCCCCGCCCCGTGCACAGCCCACAGAACCTGGACAGCCCCCGAGGCCCCACTGACGGGCCGGGGCTGGACCAGGACTCTCTCTGGCTCTGAAGCGGGGCTTGCGGCGGGGGGTTAAGGGCAGAGCCCCAGCTCCACGTGCCGTGGGGTCCTCCAAGCCCCTTCCTCTCCTTGCAGGATGCTGCAGAACAACCAGCTGGGAGGGATCCCCGCCGAGGCGCTGTGGGAGCTGCCGAGCCTGCAGTCGCTGTGAGTCACAGCCCTGCCCCCCGCCCGCCGTCCCTCCTTCCTGCGCCCCCCCCCCCTTTCTCCTCCACGGTCCAGACAGCGTGCCACTCCTGGCTTCGGTTTCTTCAGGGTTTTGTTGTCGTCAGAATGTGTGTGTGCGCGCTCGCGTGTTATCCGGGAAGCAAGGCTCTGAGGCGCCGAGGACTGTGGGAATGGGACCTCCCTAGGTGGGGCCACCAGGGCAGCGGTCCTGGGGTGTCTGGCGTTGTACCACGGAGCCTGGGGTGGGTGTGTGGGGACTGCCGCCCCCAAGAAGCGTCAGGAAGGGCTGTCTCCTCCACGCAGGCTGCTCTGGCCCCCAGGGCTCTGGGGAGTAGCCTCAGGTACCCATTTCCTTAGCTTGGGGTGACTGCATCTGGGACGCCCTGGCCACCCGGGATGCAGCTGTCCTCCGAGGGGCCCTGCACTTTCTCTGCTGCCCACTAGGGGCATGGCGGACATGACAGAGCTGAGGGCAGAAGCGGCCAGGGGCTGCCCCCCTGGGCCAGGAGCTCGGCTACTTGCACAGGGCAGGTCGCCAGGCCTGGGATGCAGTAGGTGCCTAAGACATGCTCGCCAAACCAACTGCATTTTCAGGTACTTCTACACCTGATGGGACAGTATGTCGATATTTGGGGGGAAACCAAAGTTGGGAGACAGGACTGGGTGTAACATCCAGCCAGTGGGGGAAACCGAGGCACAGCCTGCAGGGCCCCTCAGCCTGTGGGCTTCTGCACACTTGCTGTGAGGTTCAGTTGGGTCCTGCTGTGAATCACCTTCAGCGTGCTGGGGCATGCCGGAGGCCTTGTCTCCAGGCGGCACGGAGCTTGTGGGTTCTGCGGGCAGCTCTCTGAGCTCTGAGGATGCCCCTGCCACCTGGGTGGCCAGGGCGGGGACACAGCCCGCTCTCCCCTTCCACGCTCAGAGGCACATGAGCTGACCTTGCCTCTTGCAGGCCCGTGAAGACAGCTCCGGCCGGGAGTCCCGGCTCTGAGCCTGGGTGCTGGGTCATTTACCCTCTCTGTGCCTCAGTTTCTCCCCTTCAAGTTGGGGGGACAGGGTCGTCATGACGATCAGATGTAGCAAATGTGAGAGGGACTTGAAAAGTAGGAGCCCACGCAACGGTGAGGTGTGGCGATGCTGTGACATGCTCGTTTAGCCGGCCATGGACCCATTATTTTACGTTTCAAAAATTTTCTTAAACGTGTTATTCACTTATGACTTTTGAAGTGATCAAACAGCCTGCCTCATCTGTATTTGCTAAAACAGGAATTTCGCTGTTGCATGTACTAGAGGCCTTGCTGGGGGGGCAGAGCCTGGCTTGCATCTGAAGGGTTAGAAAGTGTCAGTCTGGTGAGGAGGCAGCGAAGGCCATGCCAGGCAGAGGGAGCGGCACATGCGAAAACACAGGTTAGAACGAACCGAGTGCATTCTAGAGAATTTGCAAGGAGGCAGACGCACTTGGCGGGACTGTGGTGTTGGGGGGTGGGGGGGTGCGAGGGCAGCCGCGGAGAGACAGGGGAGGTCAGTGCGACAGAGTGCCCGGCGAGGAGGCCTACGCCCTGCTAAGCATTTGAACTTAATGCTGAGGACCCTGGGGAGCCAGAGACAGGTTTTCAGCCAGACAGCAGCGTGACAGTTCGTACCGTTGCACACGGCTTTGACAGCGGTTATGGGGGACAGTGTGGCGACGGGGAGCCAGTGAGGGGCTCACGGACCAAGGGGAGTACGACGGTGGGCAAAGCAAAGGCAGGCGCATGATGAAAGGAGAAGTTGACAGACTCTAGAAATTTCGGGAAGCCAGGTCTTCAGGACTGGAGTCCGGCAGCCTGGGTTCAGGTCCTTCACTTACCACCTGTGAGACCGTGGGCAGGTTCTGTGTTTTAACAGTAAAATGCAGGTGGTACCAGTGTCAGTGTGCCGAGTGGGGTAGAGTGAGATGCAAGAGGCGTGGGCAGCGTCTTTGCAGTTACAGCTACGATTAGTGGTGGTAAAATAGTGACAGCGGGGCCGAGGGACAGCAAGGCGCTTTCACACCAAGTGGATGTGAGGCCAGTCGCCCAGAGCCTGGCACCTGGGGGGGAGCTCAGTGAAAACCTGTTGACTGAGCGTAAGTGAAGAGCAGCCCAGAGGGTGAGCAGGGATGGGCAGGCAGGGGCCAGGGAAGGAGAGCTGCTGACCCGCCTGTCGGACGCGCTGAGTTTGAGGTACATGTAGGGAGACAAACTGAGGAGTGAATCATTGTACCCGCAGGACGTCTGCATGTGTGTGTGTGATTGTGAGTGTGCGCGTGTGTATGTGTGTGTGTGATTGTGAGTGTGTGCGTGTGATTGTGTGTGTGAGTGTGCGCATGTGATTGTGTGCGTGTAATTGTGTGTGCATGTGAGTGTGTGCATGTGTGTGTGCGTGATTGTGAGTGTGTGAGTGTTTGCGCGCATGTGTGCATGTGTGTGTGCGCGTGTAATTGTGTGTGAGTGTGTGCGTGTGATTATGTATGTGAGTGTGCGCGTGTGATTGTGAGTGTGAGTGTGTGCGTGTGTGCGTGCGCGTGCGCATGTGTGTGATTGTGAGTGTGTGCATTTGTGTGTGAGTGTGTGTGTGTGAGCTGAGCTCAGGTGATGTGTAAAGGGAGTAGAGGCGCCCACTTATCACATTTCCAAACGCTGAGCATGCTCACCTGTCTCATTTAACCCCGAGAGCCCTGTAGATGAGGCAACTGAAGCCCAGAGAAGTTAGGCAGCTGGCCCAGTGGGCTCGAGACAGATTCAGGGCTGGAACCAAGCAGGGTCTGCTGGTGGTGACGGTCGGAGCCAGCCACGGTAGCCCACCATGGCCTCCCGCCAGTGGGAGGCCCAGCGATTTCAGGACAAGGAGCCGGTTATGTGAGGGACAGGGGGATTCCAGGAGGCCTTTCCTCAGACCTCCTGGGACGCCATGGAGGATAGGGAAGGGGTCTCTGGGGAAGAGAGGGGGCTAGCAAGTCGTGCAAGCTTAGAACTTGTAGTCCAGGGGTTCTCAAAGTGGGGCCCTGGACCAGCAACCTCAGCATCGCCGGGGAACCCGTCAGAAATGCCCGTTCTCCAGCCTTCCCTGGACCTACTGAACCAGAAACGGGGGTGGGACCAGCAGCCTGGGTTCTAAAAAGCCCGGCAGGGGATTCTGATACACACTGAGGGCTCAGAACCAGCCCTAGAAGAAAGGGACGTATTTGTTCCCTGGGCTGCTGTACAAATTGCCACAGACCAGGAGGCTTAAAACATCATAAATGTACGGTCCGGAGGCCGGAGGTCTGAAAGCAAGGTGTGCCAGGCCACAGGCCCCCTTCCCTGCCCCTTCCAGCTCTGGTGGCCGGCACCCCTTGTGGCCACGTCGCTCCACACCCTGCCTTTCACCTTCACAAGCCTTCTCCCCACTGTGTCTCGGTGCCGCTGATAAGGCTGCTCGCCACCCAGATAACCTGCTGGTCTCACCTCTGGAGCCTTATCTTACTGACATCTGCAAACATCCTTCTTCCAAACACGGTCCCGTTCACCAGTTCTGGGAGTCAGGATACGGACTTATCTTTGGGGAGGGCCATCATCCAACCCACGACAAAGGGACAGGTGGACAGCAGAGGAGAGCGCGAGAGTGTGTAGGGTGAGAAGCTGACCGCTGGCTCAGGAGGCCCGGACCTGGCAGGAGGAGGGAGCAGCGTAGCAGCAACCCCCAGGTCCGGGCAGCCCTGGTCCAAGGCCCCATTCTGGAGAGAGAGTCCCCATGGGCCACAGCGAGGCCCCTGAGGTCCCCAGGTGATTTGTGAATACTGTCAGCACCACCCAACTTGCCTGCCAGCCAGAGAGGGCCCCGAGGCCCAGCCGTGCTGTGGGGCCTGGCCAAGGGGTCCCCAGGGACACACGAGGTGGCAGATGGCCGCCCTGGCACGGCTATTTTGGGCCCCATGATTATATGCTACTGTATTTGGACCTCCCCAAGCTTCCTGGAGTTGATTACTACGTGTGTCTGGGGCAGAGGCTGCTCCGAGGTGGGTGGGTGGGCGGGCGTGCGGGCAGCCCCCTGCACTTGATGAAGGTCTGAACATGGGTCATTTGGCTCCTGGAGGAACTAGGCGAGTGTCCGTGGTGGGCTGGGCCTCGGGATCGGGGGAGGTTCTTTCAGCTGTAAATGCTAGTGTGGGATGGAGTTGGCTTAAGCCGGACCACCCAGGAGCAGTGTGGTGCCTTGCGCCCCTCCCCCGGAGCGCCTCAGCCCAGACTTGTGGGTCTCCTCAGCCCCCTGAGCCCCCTGAGCCCCTGGAGCTCTTGCAGGCCTGGCCCCGAGAGACCTCACAGAGGCTGGAGCCCCTCCCAAGGTGGGGCTGAGGAGGGCTGAGAACTCAGATGTCGTTAGGTGACATGGGCCCCAGGCAGAGCTAGGAAGCAGGGGACCCCTCCCCCTAGCTCCTCCTGCCCATATTAAAACCCCTTCCTGGGCAGCTCCCTGGCAGAGTTCTGAGTGTGTCCAGAGGGAAGAGGAGACCCAATTGCTGGTGTCTATGCATTCATCCACCTTCTGTCCCTCCATCCATCATCCATCCACACAGCCATCCACCCATCATCCTTCCATCCATCAATCATCCATCCATCCATTTATCTATCCATCTTCCATCCATCCTCCATCCACCCATCATCCATCCATCCATCCATCCTCCATCCATCATCCATCCACCATCCATCCATCCATCCATCCATCCATCCATCCATCCATCCACCATCCACCATCCACCATCCATCCATCCATCCATCCATCCAATATCAGTTTGTCCCTCCACGTTCTGCTGAGTGCCTGACATGCCTAGCAGACAGGTTACTGAGATCAATCATCAAGCAGGGTCCCTGCCTTCCAGCAGGCTGAGGCCGGTATAGGAACACCACACACCCCCGTTTTCACTCCCGGCTCCTACACACTGTGGGCTGAAGCTTCCAAGACAGGGAGGTCAGTGCCGG